TGTAACTTCTGAAAAATGATTGTAGCTTTGTCTGATTTTTTAAAAATGAGGAAAATCTCTACCATGATGATTTAGTGCAGCCTTTTCGCGAGACATTTAGAGTGTGGCTGAGACAATGGACTTTACCTGCTGCCCAGCGGTCGCTGATGTCCTGCACCAGTTTATCCATGGCGCTGCAAAGTAACTCACACACTCACACACACTCACTCACACACACACACGCACTCAAGGTGGCGCCACACGGCGGGTCCAAGGCGCGACTGCCATGACGACGGGACGCTCAAGCAGACGACGCGGCGCAACGCGACGCAACGCGGCGACGCCCTGCCCGCCCAGCCCGGCACTACGGCGACTACGGAGTACGGAGCGGCGCGGCGACTCGGCGCGCCGCGAGCGCGAACCAGCGCGCACCCCGGGGCGGCCAGAACGCCTCCCCCACCCCCACCTCCCCCGGCTGGAAGCCCGCCACGCCGCGCCCGGACGCTCCTCCGGGACGACTCACAGTAGGCCAGAAGACCGGTGGAGGCGGCCAAAACTCCAGACGCGTTTTGAGCTCCAGAGTCGCTAAACAGGACTCGAAGCGAACGGGTGACCCCACCAATGGATTGCTCTCCGAACGAGCAATCCATTGGTGGGGTCACACGATACTCAAGACTGAAAACGCGCGAGTCTAATCCTGGGTTTGTCCGTTCGTCCGCAAACGCATTACCGGCATCAATCGTCCTCCGCACGTCAACGTCCCCATGCAGACAACTTGTGGTTAACCTGGTCGATACAGCGAGGTCAGGACCGCCGCACCGCTAATTTTCACCATCGCGTGTGTGTGTGTGTCTGTGTGTGTTGGGGGAGGGTGGACGACCAGGTGACAACCGGGTCGCTTGCTTAGCGATGCTACGCGTCGCTTCGGAAGCCGATAGCGGCGTTTCGTTGAGCAAGGCCGATCGCCCCCTCGGCCCCTACACTAATAAAGGAAGCGGGAAACTCGTCCCAACTTTTGCCTTTTCCAAAAAGCCGCAGCGGGGCTCTTCACCGCTCTGCACCCTGGAGCGCCTGTGAGGTAGGCCAGCGACCCGGCCTGCAGGGCACCGGTGCAGAGACGGTGGCCTGCCTCGCATTGCCACTACAGGCCAGCCACACATCCCCTTCGCGTTTTGAGCTCCAGAGTCGCTAAACGGGACTCGAACCGAACGTGTGACCCCACAAATGGATTCCTCGTTCGGAGAGCAATCCATTGGTGGGGTCACACGCTCGGTTCGAGTCCTGTTTGGTGACTCTGGAGCTCAAAGCGCGACAGGAATTTTGGCCGCCTCCACCGGTCTTCTGGCAAATCCACCGTGCACTCCAGTCTCGATTGGCAGCATATATTTAGCGGTGTAGACAGCCGCCCCGCGGACGCCGCGAACCACACCCTTTCCTCGGCGACCCCAGCAAGTCGCCGGCGGGGCGCAGGCGGCGCCCTGAAAGGCTGACACACATCACTTAGGCCAGGCCAGTCCCTAAGCGGCCGGCGGGGCTGGCAGGGCTGGCAACACGTCGTAAACGGGTGAAAAACGCCCGCCCCTACAAACCGCTCTGCTAAATCATTTCCCTCCAAAAAACCGGAGCACAGTGGGCCAGAAGACTGGTGGAGGCGGCCAAAACTCTAGACGCGTTTTGAGCTCCAGCGTCGCTACATGGGACTCTAACCAAACGTGTGACCCCACCAATGGATTCCTCGTTCGAAGAGCAATCCATTGGTGGGGTCACACGTTCGGTTCGAGTCTCATTCAGCGACTCTGGAGCTCAAAACGCGTCCGGAGTTTTGGCCGCCTCCACCGGTCTTCTGGCCCACTGTGCGGAGGCTCCACCGGCACTGGCGGTCAAGCACCGACGGACACGGTGCTCCCTCTTCGGAAACGCGGCGACATTCGACAGCTAGTTGGAAATTCCAGATGAACTATTCCAACCTCCTCAAACTCGCCGAGTCGAATTAATCCGAAGGGACGAAGACGACTGCCACAGTCCATCGTCCCTGAAAGTAGGACAGGGGTGGGGGTGGGGGTGGGGCCATTTGGCGGCCACGGCGTCGCCGGGCCACACCCAGGTTGTCTACTAAGGTCTCCGGCGACGCGCAGGCAGGCAACACGTCAAAATTCAACACGCTGTTCGAAAAAAAATCTAGACGCGTTTTGAGCTCTAGAGTCGCCAAAGAGGACTCGAACCGGACGTGTGGCCCCACCAATGGATTCCTCGTTCGGAGAGCAATCCATTGGTGGGGTCACACGCTCGGTTCGAGTCCCAATCAGCGACTCTGGAGCTCAAAACCCGTCGGGGATTTTGACCGCCTACACCGGTCTTCCGGCCCACTGTGCGCCGCCACCTCGATTCAGCGGCGCACCAGAAACAAACAAAGCTTGCGAGGGAAACTAGTGCTAAACTCAAACTGGGTGCCAACAGTGCCAATAGCAGGGCACCACCTCGGGCAGGAAATCGGGAGCCATTTCCTGCCATTCATCTGGCCGAGGCGCCGAGGTCGCTCTGTCTCTGTCGCACTCGCGGAGCGTCCCGCAAGGCCCGCAGGTGTGCGAGAGAGACAGAAGCAGAAGGCCGAAGGAGGGGCGAGGGAAGGAGACGGACCGACCTTATTCAAGGAAAGCCAACTGGCATATCAAAAATGTCGCGACCCAGGACGGAGTGAGTGAGAGCGAGACAAGCCCTCGGGGTGGCTTCTTCAGCGAGAGTTGTCGCACAGTGCTTTCCGAACGAGCAATCCATTGGTGGGGTCACACGCTCTGTGCTAGTCCTGGTTGGCTACTCTGGAGCTCAAAACGCGTCTGGAGTTTTGGCCGCCTCCTCCGGTCTTCTGGCCCACTGGCGTGCCGACACTCGCTTGACACTTCGGCGAAGGACCGGCCGCGGCGTGTGGCCGTGTGCCCCTCGGTGACCCGGATCAACGCAGAAGCAGGCAGAAATAAAACGACTCATTCGGCATGCATCGGTCGATGCTGACGTGCAGACGACGCGCGCCGACCGAGGCGGCGACGGCGGCGACGCCGGAGTGCCACTGACACACCTTATCACACGGATCTCGACCACATGCCGTGTCAGCAAACAAAACCCCACGGTCGAAAACCATTTCTGTCTTGGGTTTACATCTTACATAGACCTATGGTAAGTTAATAATTAATTTTTTCTAAGTCATGGTTTTTTTTTAAATTATTAGCATATACCTACTACACATTTCCTTTCCTAAGAATGGAGGAACATTAATCCGCAAACAAGTTCCAAAAATCTTAGCTGACATGACTACGTGAAGTTGAACGCGGCCGCGCCGTGAAAGGCGTGGGGGGGGTTGCCCTTTCCTGGTCGCGTCAAATGCCACGGGGGAAGGCAGGCGCGCTTCGGCCCCGGGGCTGCCTGCAGCCCGGGAGTGCCCTCGCTGTCTCTCTCGCACCCATAGGGCCCATAGGGCACGCCCCACCAGTGCGAGAGAGAGAGAGAGACAGCTCCCACCCGCAACCGCTCGGCTGGCGTTGCCGGCCAGGGCGTCCCCTTTCAATCCCCCCATTTAGTCACCAAATGTCTTCACCGGATCGCCGACCCAGCCCGCGCCTTCGCAACAGCAACAATTTCTTTAAAAAAAAAAAAAACAACGTGAAAAACGTATTATCTTTTATTTTTGAGAGGCCGCACCGGTTACGGGGTGGGGCTAATTTGAGCGGACGGGTACCGCCCGCAGGAAGACAGGTAGAGCGGGGCCCCTGGAACCTGGAACGTGGTGGAAGGGGACTGTCGATACGATTCCAGTGTCCCCCCCCCCCCTTTTCCACGGGCACGTATGGTGGAAATGGGCGAAAGGGCCCCCGCTAGGCCACTCAGCCGATGAAGCTCATGCAGAGACCCCCCTCCCCCACCAAAAATAAACATCTTTTTCACCCGTTGCTTTTTTTTTTTTTTTTTTTTTGGTGTGTCCTTGGGTGCGGCCAGGGCCCAGAGGTCACCTTTAAGGCGCAGGTGGCCACTCCCTGAGTAAATCAGTACATCACTGGGAAAGCTTAGAGCTGCAGCCACCTCCTCCTGTGCAATCAATTGGATACGATGTGGGTGTGTCTTGCGACCAAATGTAATTTGGACACGGGATTCAAGCCCTTCCAGGCAGGGCACATGTTTTACGCAAGAGAGCAGAAACATGGTAAAAAATAGAGACTCCATGGATAATGTACCAAATTAGAACGAGAAGTATTCATATTATAATAAATAGCAAGAAAATATTGTGAACAGAATTCTTCTCACATGAACAAATAAAAGAAAATCTATGTGAGACGTTTTCTGTAGCACTTTAAAGCACCAGTTAGCACCAAAATCTTTACAGAGTTCTACTGGTCCTGAAACAATTTTGAACTAAATTTACCTTAAAAGTACACACAAGGTTTGGTGCAAAAATTTGTTTAGTGTTCTGAGGACGAACAAAGAAAATACTCAACACTTTGCACAGTTTTGAAAAATATTTAATGGCTCGTATAAAAAAACCTCATGTCTGTTTTGAATTCAGTTTTCTGGATAAATACAGTTTAGATCACTCAGATGACTGCATATCTTTGTTATTGTTTTCAGTGCACAAACATAACCTAAAAATGTGCACAATAGTATTTTATGTCAAATGTGTGGGTGTTCACTGGGAAATGACATGAATTAATCTCGCCTGACCTCGGTGAAGATCGACTTCACCAAAATCACAAGCTGTCTTACAGTTCAATGGGTTACGCAAGTTTGTGTGTAAGGAAAACGGGACAGAGAGAGAGAGAGATAGAAGACGGAAATAGTTAGGCGGACGGACGGACCATACTCGACTTCGATTGTCTTTATTTTGATACCTCGAATGAAACGCAATGAAACGGTAATGACGTGATGACCTTGAAATGCCCGCCTCCTTATAATGTAGGACGCGGTGCAGAACCAGGGAAGGGAACCCGATTCGCCCGGACAGTGCGACAGCACCGCGAAAACAAACTTTCACTAACCTCTGTTTAGGCTGCTTTCGTGTCCATGGTTTTACTTGAGAACGCCACGAGTGAAGGACGGCTTTTCGTGCACGAGCAGAAAATAAAGGAAATGGTAGCCGTCCAGGAAGCACTGCCTCGTTGGAAACGGGCGAAACTCGGAGTTCTTCCTCACTACAAGACACTGTGGGTCAGCTGCTACCATTTCTATCTACACATCTACACCTACACCAGCGCCATCGCCCGCGACGCGAGAGGGCGAGGGAGTTGGCGAGTTAGCCCCTCTGCCCCCCCTCCCCCTCTCCCTCCAGCACACTGGCAAGCTTGCATTTCATTTCCATGCTCATTTTCCACTCGACCAGGAAGCGGATTCCAAGAGATTGCAAGTCCCACTCACGCGAGAATCTCGACAAAAGATCTGCAAAATTTGAGCCATTTTATTTTGAGCGATGTCCAGGCAGTCCCGACCTTACCTTCACTTTGAAGTTGGCGCCCCGAACAAGCACCTCGTCCATGAGAAACAGTAAGAAAAATGATGCTAATTTTGGGTTGCGTTTCTCAGTTGAAAATACTTACGATAATTTATTTTTGATCTGAAACATCATGCAAACCACACCGAACATTGTGGAACACTGTAACCAGCTTTCCGAGGTAGATAAATGTGAGCATGTTGGCAAACATGATGGCAGGGTGGTTAGTCACATGTCATGTTTGTTTACATATTTTTTGAAGTTGGTTATGGTTTGATGAAAAGCATCTAAAATTATGGCAGAGACACTTGGAGGTTCTTCCAAGAGTCTTCAGCTCAAACGGTTGATAGCCCAGCAACGCACGCTCTTGCAAGAAAAGGCAGCTCTTGAACAAATGTTGAAAAATGTTCAAGCTCTGAGGAACAAGCTGAAGGTAGGATAACCTTTTCTGTTATTAACTATCTTTCATTGAATTATGGACTGACAGCTATGATTATATTACAATTTACCTTTCTCTATCTCTCTTCTTGCAGGTGGAACAAATTCAGCTCAGTAGTTCTTTGCAAGCTGAGCTAGGGGGAAGTGAAACTTATGTGGAGGTGCCTGCCGAGTCGATAACTGTTAAAACTCAAGACATTGTTGAGGAAGAAAAACATATTACTTCAAACAAACCCATACTTGACCTGAAGACTGATCATTTTCAGCGTAAGTGTTTAGTCGTTATTTATTGCTCATCCAATCGAATACGCCTAGCGTAAATCAAATATTTATGATATTATTTTCAGGGATGTTTTTGGGTGGAACTGATAATGGTGAAGAAGAGGAAGATGATGATGACTCAGATGATGCAATAGGATGTGTACAAGAGCTCATGGACGAACACGAACTGGGTTTCGATGATTTCTAACTCATAAATGGTGTTGCAATAAGTACCTACCAGACTGTGATATTTGTTGTAAGGTATTCTAAAGTTAGGCAAGAAGATCTGAGATCGTTGAAAATTTTGAAAAACTCTTATGTTTTTGTGTCAATGTATTAAAAAGCTGATTATGAGATGATGTACTGATATTATCACGGCAAAGCTGCTCTCATTTTTCATTTATTCCATGTTGAAGATTCTTCATCACATTGATTATGAACCAAGCAGGTTTAATATGAACATTACTGAATCTACACAATGAATGAACAAACTGCTGTATGTCAATTATTAGTACATGTTGGAAACCTTAAGTAACATGGCAGTATATAATGTTTAAATGAGATGACAGTCCATAATTCTACGATTGGCAGATCTCTTTCAAGTGTGATTTGAGTCGTAAGTTAGTTGAAGTGCAATGTCTATGTTAGGAATACATATTTTGTAAACTTGCAGTATCTTGGTATATGACCACAACAATCTTCAAACATTAAATGGCAGTTCGATTTTGAACCTTTTTAAAAGCTAACACTAATTTTTGTAACCTGTTTGAAGTATAAAATAACAGAGACAAGTTTGTGAAATACCTTAAAACTAAACTAAGTACTTAGTAACACATTTCAACTCCCTTTGGAGATGTTTTTACAACCCTACCCACAATCACAATTAAATTTGTTCACAGTAAATTTGTATTGTCCTTATCGCATGCACTACAAAATCTACCCCATTCAAACCTGATTTTTCTCGTCAAAAATGCAGTTTTGGCTGAAACTTCTACATCAACAAATACATTTGCTCTAGACTAGTCTGAAACAAGCGGCTCATCTCGGCTTTTCTGAAGTCTTGTTGGTGATGGCAGCCGTCGCTGACAGAACGCGCTTCACCCTCTTGGGCAGCCCCAGCTTCCTCTTCTTCTTCTTCTTGACTTTGGCGAGCTCGGCGTCGATGGCTGGGTCGTCCGAGGCAGGGCCTGGCTCTTGCAGGCCGCCGTCCGCGGCCAAGGGGGCCGCGGAGCCCAAGGGGCCGGGGTTGGCCAGAGCGGCGCCCCTCCGGAAGCGCGCCCTCCGCGACAGCGACAGGGCCTCGATGTCGGCGGGGCCGAGGCCTGCTGGGCCCAGGGCGGACGAGGGCGCGGGCAGTGTGCCGGCCTGCTTGGCCTTGGCGCGGCGCCCCTGCTGCGCCCCGAGCACGCCGACGGCCTCCTCCACCACGCGCGCCGCGCCCTGGCCGCCTTGGACTTGGACCGCCCCCGCCGCGTCCTGCCGCTTCTGGCGTCGCAACCTGCGGGCAGAGGGAGAGGAGTTTGTCGCTCTGTCTCTCTCGCACCTTGACGGAGAGCCCCACGGGTGCGACAGAGACAGAACGACGAAGGCGACTCACAGTCGGCCAGAAGACCGGTGGAGGTGGCCAAAATTCCAGACGCGTTTTGAGCTCCAGAGTCGCTAAATGGGACTCGGACCGAACGTGTGACCCCACCAATTGGATTGCTCTCCGAACGAGGAATCCATTGGTGGGGTCACACGTTCGGTTCGAGTCCTGTTTAGCGACTCTGGAGCTCTAAACGCGTCTAGGGTTTTGGCCGCCTCCACCGGTCTTCTGGCCCACTGTGCGACTCTCAGAATCAGTCTGCGGTGTCCAAAGGGGCGGAAAGGGCGGAAGTAGGGAATGGCCACAGGACCGCAGTGGACGTATTCGCGCGCCAAACACCCAGGCTGGCAAACCGAATCACCGACCGCTGATTTTCATGCCTTCTGCCCACTGCTGCGGTATTTGGTCCAAAAAACCAGCAACGTGCAGTCTATTTTAACTGTTTTGGGTGGCTGGGGATTCTGGAACGAACCGCAAATCTTATGTGTTGTAATTTTTTTTGTGCGTGTGTGCCTGCACTGATTCACCCTACTATGAAAAACTCAGAAGTCAGAACACCAGCCCGAAAACAAAAACACGGCTTTCGCGTTCGGCTTCGCCTCTTCGCGGCTTTCTTGGCATTCTCGCCAGCCTGTGACAACGGTTGACAACGGTCAAGTGCAGTCGCTCAATCTTTTGCGTTCCGTGAAAAAAATCTATCCAAGTAAGTATTTCTGTCATTTCTAGAAGTTATTGATTGTGACTCCTCGCATCGGCGCGTGGGAACAACGATATGGCCATTGTGCCTGTGGCCGGCTTCGGCTTGCGAGAGGTTAAAAGCCAAAATCCTCGTGCACTTGTTGGCGGCGTGTTTCACGTTGACGGCGAAACCTCGCCGCCTTTTCCCCATGTCTGATTTAATTAACTCCGTGCCTAACAATCGCACGAGCGTGGTGCGAACATCCCACTTGGCACCGCGCTCCATTCAACATGTCCCATTCAACATGCCCCATTTGACTGCCTCTCCCACTGCAGCTTGGGTTGATTTTATCTATTTTTCTTTGAATTGTTGCAGTTCAAGATGCCTCCCAAGAAGAGGTCAAAGAAGCCCGCCTCCAGCTCAGACTCTGACTCTGGACCAGACGATGTAAGTAAAGCTTTCTCTCGGGTCAAGTGTGCCCAGTCTGGACGCTTCATCTAATTATCACATGCTCCTTTGCCCCTCCGTAGAAGGGCCCACTTGTGAAGAAGCCCGCTCTTTCCCCATCCAAACCCAAGGGTCCCAAGGGGGAGGCTGGTGACGAGTCTTTTCCCTTGGAGAGAAACCGGTTTGTCACCGTCAGCGAGTTCAGAGGCTCTGTGATGGTGGGCATTCGTGAATTTTATGAGAAGGATGGAGAACTGCTCCCAGGGAAGAAAGGTATGCTATTTCCACGAGTACCAGTAGTCCAGTTAGGTTTCCTTGCTGTGCAGGTAGTCATTTCATTTATCTGTTCCAGGTATTTCTCTCACTGCTTCTCAATATCAGAAGTTGAAAGACCTCATTCCTCAAATTGATGAAGCACTCAGCAAGCATTAATTCTTAGCTCAATTTTATTTTTATGATTACATCAGATGTCATTTTTTGTTCATTTCTTTGCCAGACTTCGTAACATCTGTATTTTACCTTTTTGTTATGTCTGTAATTTCCAAACAGATGCTATTTAAGTCATTTTTTAATAAACCTGAATTCCTTTACTTGTTCTTGTATTTATTCCCTGTACGAAACCTAATCGATGGTCAGATTGAACTGTCTGATGAAAATGAATCTTAGGCAGTTTGCAATGCAGTAAATTCAGTGTGAAACCCAGTCACGGGCAAAACGACATCGAAATTAGTGGAGTCATTCACTACCTGAAGTGGCATTATCAAAGCCTTCTTGAACAAGGGATAAGTCTTCAGGTATGAGGACTTAATGGGGAGGGGGGTGGTTTCTTCCATTAAGATCAGAGAAAGACACTACTTAAGAAGCATCCTCAAAGGATGGGGTAACGATAACAACCCCTCCAGTCTCCAGTGTAGTAGGCGTCACCCATCGGGAGAGGGTCCCTGGATGGCGTCGAACGGCTGGAGACGTTGCTAAAGCGATATCGACAAAGCGAGATGGGCTTGGCTTGGGTTCGGGACGCGCCCATCCGCCCATGCAGCGCCCCCCCCCCCAGACACACACACACACTCACCGGAGCTGTCCGCGACGCCAGTGCGTCCTGCCGGCGTCGGACGCCTCGGCCTCCGGCTCGTCCTCCATGGAGGTCCCCGCGCCGCCGTGCTGGCCGGGCTGGCCGCGGAGACCGGACAGGGACCCCCGCGCCGCGGCGGCCGCGACCGTGGAGCCCTGCGCCGCGCCGGCCACCGCGCGCGCGTTGGGCCCGCTCGGCCGCTGCAGCCAGGCGCCGCTCGACTTCCTCGACGGTGTGGTGGCGGCGGTCGCCGGCGTCGCCAGGGACGCCTTGGAGCGGCGCCGCCTCGACGAGCGGCCCTCTGCGTCCCTGTCCGCGTCCCTGGGCCGCTGCAGCGCCGACAGCGCGGACAGCTTCTGCGAGCAGGACCGCAGCACCTCCTGCTGGTCGTGCTGCAGGGCGGGCGGCCCGGGGGGCGGCCCCCAGGCCAGGGGCACGTTGGCGGTGTAGTTGTTGCAGGCCTCGCGGCACTCCACGTCGCACTGCTGGCACTGCTGGCACGGCGTGCCCAGCCACACGCGGCCCAGCGACAGCGACTCGAGCGCGCCCCGCGCCGGCAGCGGGGACGTCGGGGACGTGGCACCCTGGCCGTCAGACGGGCCGCCGTCCTGCGGCACCGGCGTCGGGGTGGGCGTCGACGCGCGCTTCGTCCCCGGCCGCCGCGCCGAGCCGTGCCTCCGCCTGGGCAGCAAGCGTGCCGGTTACACGAGGCCAAGGGGGTTGCAGCACAGCGGTCCAGAAGACAGTGGACTTGCCAGAAGACCGGTGCAGGCGGTCAAAATTCCGGGCGCGTTTTGAGCTCCAGAGTCGCTCTATGGGACTCGAACCGAACGTGTGACCCCACCAATGGATAGCTCTCCGAACGAGGAACCCATTGGTGGGGTCACACGTTCGGTTCGAGTCCTGTTCAGCGACTCTGGAGCTCAAAACGCGTCTAGAGTTTTGGCCGCCCCACTGGTCTTCTGGCCCACTGTGCGTTGCAGCCTGCACGAGGAGGCCCACCTGGCGTTGGGCAGGCTGCGGCCGTGCTGCGAGGCGGGGCGCGCGGCCCCCGACGGCCCGCCCCGCAGCGCGCTGCTCACGTCGGCGAGGACGGACAGACTGCGGCGCCGGTGCACCACGCTGGGCGACGTGGAGGTGTCCGTGGAGGTGGCGTCCCTGCCGCCGTCCTGCGCCGTCAGGGCCGTGCTGGCCGCCAGCGAGGTGTCGCCGTCGCGGAGGTCGCGGGTAGAGCCGTGCCGGCCGCGCCCCTGCAGGACGAGTTGAATAAGGAGCTGCCCTGTCTCTCTCGGAGCCACTCAGCCTCCAGCACCTACCCTGCGGCGGTGCGCTGGGGTCACGATCAGTTCGGGAGGCATGTCCACCCTCTCGCTCGCTCTCTGCGCGCCGTCATCTGTGGACAAAGGCGCTCAGCAAAGGCAAGAACAGCGCGGGGTCTGGGCGGACCCCTTCCGGACTCCGGAATAATCATCCCAAAGTACCCGGGCTGGTGCTGGCGCGCTGCCGCGCGGTGGCCTGCTGCCTGCTGGGGGACGTCTCCGCGCTGGACTGCAGCTCCGGCGTCGTGGTGGCGGTGTTGGCCTCGGCGGCGTCGCAGCCCGGCAGGTCCAGGAGGGTGGTGTGCACGTGCAGCGTCTTGCGGGGCATCGGCGGCGTCCTGTCGGCCCGTTCGCCCCGCTTGGGCGACCCGGTGCCGCCCTCCGCGGCGGGCTGCTGCTGCAAGGAACGCGTTGATGAACCAGAAAAAAGCACCGCCGGCGCGGGGATTCGAAGCCAGTACCTTCCGGCGCGGCAAGCTGGGCGAGGGCGGCGGCACGGGGCAGGGCTCGCCCAGGCCGTGGCAGAGACCGTGGCAGAGGCCGGAGCAGGCGGCGGGCAGCCCGAGGCCCCGCATGGGCCGCGCGTTGGGGGCCTCCGTCGCGCCCTCCGTCATGTTGGCCTCGTCCTCCGAGCTGCTGCTGGTGTCACCCTCGTCGCTGCCGAGACCCAGAACCGCCAAGGCATTGCTCGAACCCTTCCAACTTTATTTTTAGAAGATTCCAGGTAGCCACTCCTACCTGGAGTAGTCGGACAGGATGATGTTGGTGGGCTCGTCCGCGCTGGACCCCTCCTTCACCAGGCGGCTGATGATCTTGTTCCGAAGCCTCTCCTGAGGGGCGGGGCTGCGGGGACAGCACGAAGCAATGCAATTGGGGATTGGTTTGGTGTTTGGACAGCTTTCTCGCCAGTCTCTGCCGTGGGACAGCACAATGGGCCAGAAGACTGGCGGAGGCAGCCAAAATACTAGACGCGTTTTGAGCTGCAGAGTCGCTAAATGGGACTCGAACCGAACGTGTGACCCCCACCAATGGATTGCTCTCCGAACGAGGAGTCCATTGGTGGGGTCACACGTTCTGGTACAGTGGCGTCGGCTCGAAGCAAAGACTCACCCGGACACGGAGGTGACGGAGGCGCGCGGTCCAAAGCAGGCGCAGCGGGCACAGAGTAAAGGCGTTTCAAGCGAGGTACAGTACAGTCAGACACAACAGGCGGGACTTCCTACCCAACTGTTGTATTCTGGCGCCCGTTTCCCCATTCGCCACTCACCTTGCTGGGGTCCTGGTCGCAGAAATCGAGCAGCGTCTCGCAGAAGGCGCGGCCCATGTTCTCGAAGTCCTGCGCCGAGAAGTGCGTGGCGGCCCTGGAGCCGAGCGTGGAGCCGCCGAAGGAGGCCTCCATGGTGTAGCTGTTGGCCACGCCCATCATCCACACCACCACGCGCCCCGTGCCCTCCTTGGAGCGCTGGATGCGAAACTTGCAGTTCTCGAACGAAAACTGCAGAGAGAGCAGGCAAGGGCCGTCACCAACATCGCGACAACAAACCGGCCGGAGGCGGCCAAAACTCTAGACGCGTTTTGCGCTCCAGGGTCGCTAAATGGGACTCGAACCGAACGTGTGACCCCACCAATGGATTGCTCTCCGAACGAGGAATCCATTGGTGGGGTCACACGTTCGGTTCGAGTCCCATCTAGCGACTTATCAGTGGAACGCACCTTGTCGGCGGCGTTCTTGTGCAGCATCAGGGGGAAGACCTGCTCCTGCAGCTGCTTGTCGGGCCCGCGCTTGTTCTCGCAGCCGTAGATGAAGATGTTGTGCTTGCGGGAGTGCGCGTGCAGGTCGCAGTACATGACCACCCCGCACTCCTCCATCAACCTGCAGAAATAATGGAGGAAAAATAGGAACATGCGGGGATTTGAACCGCGGTCCTTGAGGTCAAGGACCGGCGCCTCTACGCCCTCGGCCACGGTGCACCGTACCTGCGGATCATGAGCTTGGTGTGCCAGACCGGCGGGTAGGTCTCCCGGATGACGGTGCGGTACTGGCGGTTGAGGTCGCGGCCCGTCAGCGAGCAGCGGTTGTTGCCCACGATGACGCCGTCCGGGTTCAGCATGGGCACCAGCTTGAAGATGAACTTGTCGCGCAGCTCCTGGGGGACGCGTCACGCATTCTCAGTCACATTTCCCATTTCCGGTATGAGCTAGCGCGTGAACCCGCAGCCTGACCTTGGCCTGGTTGCTGTTGCCGGTGAGGAAGTCCATGAAGCCCTTCATCATCCACGAGGACGGCGTCTCTCCGGGGTGCACCCTCGCCGTCAGCACCACGGCCTTCTTCTTCTGCAAGGCAGAACACGGCACTTTGTTCATTTGGCCGTCCCCAAGTCGGCCCCCTCCACGCTGGCACCTACCTTGGGCTCCTCAGGCGGTGGCGGCGCGGGGGTGGCCGCGGCGCAGGCGGCGCAGCGCGTCGGGCTGCCCTGAGGGTTGTTGTTGTTGTTGTTGTTGGCGCACGTGGCGCCGTTGCAGTTGTTGTTGACGTTGTTGTTGTTGACGGCGGCGGCGGGCGGCGGCGGCGGCGGCGTGGTGATGGTCAGGTAGTACACGTTGTTGCCGGCCAGCGAGCGGCACAGCAGCCGCAGCTTGCTGAACGTGGACTTGACGGGGTGGTTCTGCAGCTTGAGCAGGTAGTCCTGCAGGTCCGAGTAGGTGTAGGGGTAGCAGTGGGCGAGGTAGCAGGTGTCGTTGTCGTGGGGGAAGTCGACGTTGAAGCTGAGCGTGTAGCTGGGCGCCTGCTCCTCGCTGGGCGACGCCTCCTCGTTGCGGAAGTACGCGATGTTGTCGCCGCAGCGCCGCCACCCCGCCTGGTTGAGCTGCGCGTCGCGCTCCGAGTACAGCAGCGGCCGCATGCCGCACGAGTACAGGCTCTCGGCCTGCAGCCCAACGCCCCGGTTAATTTGCTTTTAATTTTCATTTTAGCAGACGATACCTTTACTGTAAGACACACGTTAAGAGTGGGCCAGAAGACCGGTGGAGGCGGTCGAAATCCCGGAAACGATTTTGAGCTCCAGAGTTGCTAAAAGGGACTCGAACCGAGCGCCCGCCAATGGATTGCTCTCCGAACGAGCAATCCATTGGTGGGGTCACACGTTCGGTTCGAGTCCTGTGTAGCGACTCTGGAGCTCAAAACGCGTCCCGTCCTGGCCCTCGACGCCGGTCTTCTGGCTCACTGCCGCACCTTGGACAGGTTGACGATGGAGAAGCGGTACACGGCGCGGCGGCGCATGTTCTCCACGCGGAAGTAGAACCACTGCATGTGGCGGTTGGTGTACAGGTCGGTGCGCAGGTACAGCTCGTAGTACGTCTCCGTGATGCGCACCACCTTGGCCAGGTTGCCGGACTCGAAGCGCGACTCGAAGCGCAGGTCGTCCGGCCGCAGGTCCGGCGGCCAGGCCGGCGTCAGGATGCGGCTGCCGCCCACGCTGGACCGGCTGAACTGTGGCAGGGCCGCCCGGTGGAGGCGGTCAAGATCCAGGACGCGTTTTGAGCTGCAGAGTCGCCCACCAGGACTCGAACCGAACGTGTGACCCCACCAATGGATCGCTCTCCGAACGAGGAACACATTGGTGGGGTCACTCGCTCGCTTCGAGTCCAGTTTAGCGACTATGGAGTTCAAAACGCGTCTAGAGTTTTGGCACTCACGTAGTTGACGGCGCTGACGGGGTAGTACTGGAACACCACCTGGCCCACCTCCTCGCCCACGGGCTGCGGCTGCACCTCCCTGCCGGTGGGCACGTAGTACGCCTCGGGCGTGGCGGGGGGCACCTCCATGTGCTGCACGCGCTCCTCCAGCACCTGCAGCAGCACCAGAAAAACTCAACGGCGGCGCTCGGTCAGCCTCCAAGTCCAATGTCAGCAACGCTCGGTTTGAAACCTATTTCCCGCATTGTGCTTCCAGCGTACCTGGCACTCGGCCGGCCAGCGCGGCCCGGCGGGCGGCCCGTCGGCCGCCGAGTCCCGCAGGGTGGCCAGGGGGTCCCTGGGCTCGCGCAGCTTGGCCACGGGCCGCAGCGTGCGGCTGTCCGTGTTGATCTCCACCTGGTTGCTCTTGAGCGCATTTTGGAGGAAGCTGCTGAGGTAGCTGCCTGCGGACAGTCATCAAAGTGGCCTTGGTGTCGTCTTTTTTTGCGTTGTTGATGGCGGTATCGCCGCACAGTGGGCCAGATGACCAGGCGGCCAAAATTCTAGACGCGTTTTGAGCTCCAGTCGCTAAACTGGGAGTCGAACCGAACGTGTGACCGTACCAATGGATTCCTCGTTCGAAGAGCAATCCATTGGTGGGGTCACACGTTCGGTTCGAGTCTCATTTAGCGACTCTGGAGCTCAAAACGCGCCTAGAGTTTTGGCCGCCTCACCGGTCTTCGGGCCCCCTGTGCGCCGGCCGGTCGTAACTCACGCCAGCGCTGCATCGCGGGGGGTCTGAAAGAGTCGCGCGATTCGGGCCAAGCAGGCAAGCACCAAGAACGCACAACAAAGGAGGCTCGCCTATTCAGGGGAAACCCAATACGGCGCCGTGGAATCGATAGCCCGCCTCGCCTCGCCCCGTGCGCGGCATGGCGCTGCACTGCAAGGCGAGGCGTGGCGGCACTAAACCTGTCCGGCTGCACCGGGGGCTGCACGGGCTGCACCGGGCTCGGCTTTCCGTGATGCCGTCTTCAGGTTTTGGGATGGCTTTCGTCGTTACCGAACGGTCGTCGCACAGAGGATTCGCCAGAAGACCGTTGGAGGCGGCCAAAAGACGCGTTTTGAGCTCCAGAGTCGCTAAGCAGGACTCGAACCGAGCGACTGACCCCACCAATGGATTCCTCGTTCGGAGAGCAATCCATTGGTGGGGTCACACGTTCGGTTCGAGTCTCATTTAGCGATCACACCCGAGTCAGACGCCTGCGAACGCCAGGCTGGCCCCGCCCGCCACGGACCGGTGTCCACCGCGTGGCCTACCCTCGGTATCGCAGGCTGAGGCCGGCAGAAGCTGGGAACTGCTCTCCCTCTCGCGCAGTGTTGCCACGTCAGTAGCGAAAAATCAGCAAGTCGCACCAGCGCAGAAATGGTTGCAAACCCCAAACTGCCTACCGTGCAACATCCGAGGGCGCCCTTTCGAGGGAGTGCCTGGCAGGCTGGCAGAGCACAGTGGGCCAGAAGACCGGTGGAGGCGGTCAAAACTCAACACATTTTGAGCTCCAGAGTCACTAAACAGGCCTTAACCGAGCGTGTGACCCAACCAATGGATTCCTCGTTCGGAGAGCAACCCATTGGTGGGATCACACGTTCGGTTCGAGTCCCATTCAGCGACTCTGGAGCTAAAACGCGTCTAGAGTTTTGTCCGCCTCCACCGGTCTCCTGGCCCACTGTGCTGAGGTCGGCAACCCTTCCGACTGGTGCATTATCGTGGGAATGTTCGAATACTGATGTGGCAGCTCGTGCCGCGCCTCCCTCCGCCTCGGTCGCCCCCTGCTCGACCCTGCGACCTCCTCGCCCTCCTCGACCTCGTTGCAGTTGTTAATAATTCTGGCGGGCTGCATCGGTACTGCATGTTCGGCGATGTCGCTGCTTCGGTCAAATTGATCGCTTACGGCCGCGCCCTCCGCCGCACTCCCCTGCGGTGTAGTACCACGCCGTGCCGTGCCGTGCCGGGGGGCGTTCACCCCGCCGTACCGTCGTAAGAAGGGTCGCCGTCGGCAGCAACGAATTACACGCCCGAGTGCTCTGCTTCGGGGCCTCCACTGGCAAGAAAGCCTCTCCGCACAGTGGGCCAGAAGACCGGTGGAGGCGGTCAAAATCCCGGGCGCGTTTTGAGCTCCAGAGTCGCTAAATGGGACTCGAACCGAACGTGTGACCCCACCAATGGATTGCTCTCCGAACGAGGAATCCATTGGTGGGGTCACACGTTCGGTTCGAGTCCTGTTTATCGACGCTGCTGTCCTAGAGTACGATTGTCTTCTCCGCGGCGGAATTAACACCGCGCAACAACAGTCGCTCTGATTGAAGACGCCAGCCACGCCATGACGAGTACGGTCACGACGAGCACCCCAGTAATGAGTGAGCGGTCGGGCGGCACGCCAGCGGCACGCCAGCGCGCTGGCGGTACAGGCACGCCAGAAACAACAAGAAGCGGCACCGCAGAGTCTACATCGGCCTAGGGGTGGACAGACCGGCTGCGGTGCGGTACAGGCACGCCAAAAACACCACGAAGCAGCACCGGTGCACTGTTGGCCAGAAGACCGGCGCCGGCGGCCAAAACTCGAGACGCTTTTTGGGCTCCAGAGTCGCTAAATGGGACTCGAACCGAACGTGTGACCCCACCAACGGATTCCTCGTTCAGAGAGCAACCCATTGGTGGGGTCACACGTTCGGTTCGAGTCCCGTTTAGCGACTCTGGAGCTCAAAACGCGTCTTGAGGTTTGGCCACCTCCACCGGTCTTCTGGTCCGCTGTGCGCTGACACACTACATCGGTAGGTCCTTACTGTTGAGCGGCGCGAGGTGCGGGTCGTCGCCCTTCTCCAGGGTGAGGGGCGGCATGGGCGGCAGCAGGACGGCCCTAGCTGGCGGCAGCGCGGCCTCGGCCGTGGCGGCCGGCCCCTGGGGCGCCACGCCCAGCCCGTTGGCGAAGCCGCTGGCCCAGCCGGCGAAGGGGCCGAACGGGCCGAAGGACACGCCGCTGGCCGGCCTCGGCAGGTCCAGGAAGGCCGCCGCGCTGGCCGAGGCCGTGGAGGCCGCCGAGGCCGCCGAGGCCGAGTCTGCGGCCGGCCGGAGCATGGCGGCGCATGGCCGGGACGCCGAGGGACAGCGACGCGGCGGAAGCTCTACCTCCTCCACGGCCTCTACCGACGCGGACGGGGGTCTCGGGGACCGCGCGGACGGCACCGCCCCGCGCGCCGCGCCACCCTCTGCACGGCCTCCGCCAGCGGCGTCGGAGCCATCGCGCGCGACTGTGGCGAGACCAGAGCACCAGAGCACCGCGTCGACGACTCAATGGAGCGCTCCGACTCGGAAGGTCACGCGAGGTCCTGCCTCGGTGCCTCGGCCGCCTCGCTCTGCGCTGCGACGTCCCGGGAAACAATTAGGCTCCTCCCTCGCGGGGGTGGCGCTGGGGGCGGCGCTGGGGGCGGCGCTGGGGGCGGCGCTGGGGGCGGCGCAGGGGACGGCAGGAAGGTACGCCCCCGTGGTGCACCGCGATGCGACCGTCGCCGCGCAGCGCCGGAAAGGAGTGCGACGACGCCCGGCCGCGGGGCCCGCCGCCCCCGCCGCCCCCAACGCCCCCACCCCCTACCCGACAGGACCTGGTCGCCCAGCGAGCGGGGCAAGCCGTCGGGGAGTCACTGGGTTCACCGAGACCTCCATGGCATCGGGGAGACTGGGGGGCGTCCGCGCATTGACAGCCGACAACTGGCAGGCATCTCCGAGTCGCTGAGTCATCTCCCCCGTGGGGACTTCACTTTCGGATGCGTTTCTCAAACCAGCACCCATGAAGGTAAAGTCGCGAAATAAACCAGGACTGTCGCCAAGAAAATTGAAAAGAGTCAACTTGATGAAATAAACCAAAAGTGCGGCCTAGGAGACCGTCCTCGGCGACCACGCGCGGCGCCGCCGCTTTGACGCGGAAGAAGCACTGAGTGATGTGCCCCGCGGCGGAGCGGCCCTGAGCAAGGCTGTCTGTCTCTCTCGCGCCGAAGGGACTGGACGGGACGCCCCATGAGAGCGAGAGAGACAGACGCACTGTTGGCCAAGGCTCCGCCAAGGCTCCGGGAAGGAAAGAGAGAGGCGGGCGTCCTAATGGGAAAGGGCGTGGGGCCTCGGCCGCCTCGGCTGTCTTTCTCTGTCTCTCTCGCACCTGGCGGGGCGCCTGGCGCACAGTGGGCCAGAAGACCGGTGGAGGCGGCCAAAACTCAAGACGCGTTTTGAGCTCCAGAGTCGCTAAATGGGACTCGAACCGAACGTGTGACCCCACCAATGGATTCCTCGTTCAGAGAGCAATCCATTGGTGGGGTCACACGTTCGGTCCGAGCCCTGTTTAGCGACTCTGGAGCTCGAAACGCGCCTGGAGTTTTGGCCGCCTCCCCCGGTCTTCTGGCCCACTGTGTGGCGGGGCGTACGGGGGCGCCGCTGTCTGTGCGTGTAGGCAGCGGCCTGCTGTCACTCACGGGGAGCTCACGTGGAACGACCCCTGCCGGGAGGGCTCCTGAAAATGTTGATAAAACGGAAGGATTCCACACGCTGCCGTGTATACACGTAGACACACCGCACCCTGCCAAGCCTGCCAAGCCCGGCGCGCCCGCGTGGTCGATACCGTTGCGTCTTGTTTTCGACCTGCCTCTGTCTCTGTCTCCCTTCCGCGTCGTGGGCAAACGAGCGAGTTACAATCAAGAGACGCGGCCGCACGATGGGCCACCAGACCGGTGGAGGCGGTCAAGATCCCGGACGCGTTTTGAGCTAAGAGGGACTCGAGCCGAACAAGTGACGCCCACCAATGGATTGCTCTCCGAACGAGGAGTGGGGTCACACGTTCGGTTCGAGTCCTGTTTAGCGACTCTGGAGCTCAAAACGCGTCTAGAGTTTTGGGCACCTCCACCGGTCTTCCGGCCCACTGTGCAGGGTATTGGTCTGGGCGTACGCGAATCTTGGCCAACTTCGCCCATAAATGGCATGCGCCTCGCATGACGGGGACGGGGACTGCGGCCCGAGACCCGGCCAGGGCGTGGCTTGGCAGGCCGGCCCCCTCGCGCCCACACCCTAAAACTAGGATCAACCGTACTTTCTGGGGTGGTATTCGCACGATGACGAACGG